TGGCCAACTTGGTGAAACTGTATCTCTACTAAAAATACAAAAAATTAGCTGGTGTGGTGGTGTGCACCTGTACTCACAGCTCCTCAAGAGGCTGAGGCAAGAGAATCACTTGAACCTGGGACACAGAGGCTGCAGTGAGCCGAGATGGCGCCAGTGAACTCCAGCCTGGGTCACAGAGCGGGACTCCATCTCAAAAAAAAAAAAAAAAAGACACACTGTGGCTCTGTGAGCATCGGTTACCGTCCAGACCAAGTAGACATTGGATGCAGATTTCACCGGAGTTTTATTTTTTATTTGTTTTGGTTGCGTTGAGTGTCACTTTTTTAAAAAAATTGGCTTACGTTGAAGATGACTTTGAAGTTGTTGGAATTATTCTCAGTCCTGAGCCTCAGGGCTTCAGCAAGCAAGTTGCAGTTCCCGGGGCTGGGCTGGTCAGAGACCCTCCACTGAAGCATGCCTGCCCACGGCTGCCCCGGCTGTCATCCCCCGGAAGGAAGCACGTGGAGTGGAGTGGGGTGGAGCGTAGGCAGCAGCGGCCCCGTCTCCACAGCAGTGCAGGCTCCCTTCCTGCTCATTTGGGCTCTTTTGTCTGAACCAGAGACACAAATTTGTAGAGCTGCCAAATTCATGCTGAAAATTTCCAACCAAAACCAATCATCTTAATTGTCTGGATTATGATATTTATTTTGTAAATCATTCTTGCTTTAAGCCGTGCACACGCTGTGTTACTAAATCTGCAAATGATTCCAGAGCCAAATGCAGTTCTGCACCACGGTTCGGGTCAATGGCGGACTTCACGTATGAGGGTTCTCGTGAGATCATGAGAGCATATTTTTACTGGACCTTTTCCGTGTTTAGATGTGTTTAGATTCACAAACCCTGACCGCTGTGAGGCAGTCACCCACGGTGTTTAGCACAGCCACACGCTGTGGAGACATGTATTGGGGAGCCGTGAGCCACGTGGCTGGGGTGTGCACTGGCCACACCGAGTCGGTTCACATGAGTTCCCACGACGACAAAATGGCCTAAGGACACATTTCTCAGAGTGTGTCCCTGTCATAAAGTGACACATGGCTGTGTTTACACAAACTTATTCTTATGTAATAGTCAACTGTAGAGTGGTTTAGACTACCTCATCTTTAGGAAATGCATCTGCCTTTAACCAGACCAGCGGTGGGGGAGGTGGCTTTTCTGTTTTTCTTCCCTCTTCTCTCTCTTGCTCTGTCTCTTCTCTGTGTTAACTTTCCTGGGAATCCGGTGAGCCCAGATTTTTTCACTGTGTATTTTGTTTTTTTGTTTGTTTGTTTTGAGACGGAGTCTGACTCTGTCACCCAGGCTGGAGTGCAGTGGCACGATCTCGGCTCACTGCAAGCTCCGCCTCCCGGGTTCAAGCAATTCTGCCTCAGCCTCCAGTGTGGCTGGGACTACAGGCACCCACCACCGCGCCCAGTTAATTTTTATATTTTTAGTGGAGACGGGGTTTCACCGTGTTGGCCAGGATGGTCTTGATCTGACCTCAGGTGATCTGTCTGCGTCGGCCTCCCAAAGTGCTGGGATTACAGGCGTGAGTCACCGCACCCGGCTGTGAATTTTGCGTTTTATTTGTTGCTTTTTCAATTCACAGAAAAAGATAGGTACAGGGCACCTGAGACAGGCGCCGCCTCGCACCATCCACGACTTTGTTTGGTGCCTGCCTGTCCAGGAGTGGGTGTGGCCGCTGCAGAGGGGCCCTTCGTTGCCCAGCCCTGCAGCTGCCCCCTCTCCCTTCCCCAGAGACTCACAGCTGGCCCCGAGCTCTGTGCAGGGAAGCCTTTCTCTAGAGGCTCTTGTCCTTCCTGTGTGGAGCCCTGGGTCCAGCCGCCTTTCCTTCCACCTGGCAGCGTTAGCGGATGCTGGGCGTCCGTGCTGATCACCTCCCGTGGGAAAGAGCTCGGACAGTGCAGCCTGCGAAGCTGCGTCTTGGAGATTCCTCTGTCAGGGAAGCTGTCGTGGCTGTCGGGGTCCACTGGGCACCCGCAGAGCCCAAAACCCCACAGAGCGGAGGTGGGTGGTGAGCCTGCCAGGTGCATCTTTGTATAAATCTATTTCTAAGTTTTCAAATTACTATGAAGCTTCCAATGTCACAAAATATGTAGTCTTGTTAAGGAAAGTTTTAGGTGTTCGTATTTTTTAAAATTATGTGTTTGATTCCATTCAAGCAGCCTCCTGGGCTTTTCTCTTTAAAGCAGTCTTTTCTGCCCATTGTTTTTGTTTGTTTTGAGTCAGAGTCTTGCCCTGTTGCCCAGGCTGAAGCCCATGCGATCTTGGCTCACCGCCATCTCAACCTCCCCCAGCTCAGGCAGTCCTCCCCACTCAGCCTCCTGTGTGGCTGGGATCCTCCCCGCTCAGCCTCCTGTGTGGCTGGGATCCTCACCACTCAGCCTCCTGTGTGGCTGGGATCCTCCCCACTCAGCCTCCTGTGTGGCTGGGACCACAGATGTGCACCACATCCTGCTCATGTTTTTATTTTTTGTTTGTTTTGTAGAGATGGGGTCTCGCCATGTTGCCCACGCTGGTCTTGAACTCCTGAGCTCAAGTGATCCGTCCCCCTTGGCCTCCCAAAGTTTTGGGATTACAGGCGTGAGCCACTGCAACTGGCCTTGGTTTTTGCTGCTGCTGCTGCTGCTGCTGTTGTTGTTTTTAGATGGAGTCTCGCTCTGTCGCCCAGGCTGGAGTGCAGTTGCGTGATCTCGGCTCACTGCAACCTCTGCCTCTTCGGTTTAAGCAATTCTCCTGCCTCAGCCTCCAAGCAGCTGGGACTACAGGCACCCGCCACCATGCCTGGCTAATTTTTGTATTTTTAGCAGAGATGGGGTTTCACCATGTTGGCCAGGATGGTCTCAATTTCTGACCTCGTGATCCACCCACCTCGACCTCCCAAAGTGCTGGGGTTACAGGCGTGGGCCACCATGTCCCGCCCTTGTTTTGTTTGTAGGTCACTTTGGGTTCACAGTGTGTCCTGAGGTGTGGGGGCCTTCTGGGGGCTCGGGAGGCAATTTCCTTGAACTCGCAGATGCCCCTGCTCTGAGCCTGCATCACACGGAACCTGCCCTTCCCAAGAAGCTGCCTGCGTGTCCCATGTCTCTGTGGCTTGTACTTAAAACGGACATACAATGACGGTCAGCAGCTCTAGGCAATAATTGAGTCCTGGCAGAGGGGCTGGTTCTGAAGATGGGGGAGTCACAGGCCCTGTGTGGAGGGTGACCTCAGGGGCCCCGGCCCACAATGCGGTCGGCGGGCCCTGGGTCTCTGCCCACATAGCAGTGAGGACAGTCGGTGGGCCCTGGGTCTCTGCCCACATAGCAGTGAGGACAGTCGGTGGGCCCTGGGTCTCTGCCCACATAGCGGTGGTGAGGGGACAGTCAGGCTTGGCCCTGCCCACATAGCAGTGAGGGACAGTCGGTGGGCCCTGGGTCTCTGCCCACATGAAGGTGAGAGGAAGGCGCGTGGCCCTGGCTGACTGTGCCCAAACACAGTGTGACGGCCGTGTTTGGCCCTGCCCAGCAGTGAGGAGGTCAAGCATGGCCCTGGGCTGGCTGTGCTCACACAGCGGTGTGAGGACGTGCCATTGGGCCCTGGAGAGCTGTGCCTGGGCCACTGTGGTGAGGATGGTCAGCGGGCCCTGGGTTGGCTGTGCCACACGGTGGTAAGGACGGCTTCTTCATGGTCCTGGGTTGGCTGTGCCCACACAGTGGTGAGGACGGTCGGCGGGCCCTGGGTCTCTGCTCACATAGCGGTGAGGATGGTCGTTGGACCCTAGGCTGGCTGTGCCAACACGGTGGTGAGGACACATAGTGGTGAGGATGGTCGTTGGGCCCTGGGCTGGCTCTACCCACGCAGGGTGTTGCACCTGATGTGTTGAGCAGTGCTGGTTCAGGGAGGGTCCCACCGCATCCTCTGCCTGCCTTGGCCCCTGCAGCAGGCAGTGCTGAGGAGACAGACTGAGTGGAAGAGGAGGCTGGGCCAGGGCTGCAGCGGCCACAGAGCCTTGGGCCTCCCAGAAACGGACTCTGATGGCAGAAGCGCCGGCCTCTTGCACGGGGTGGAAGGTGGTGCCTGCGTGGATGGTGCTGCGTGGGGGCAGGCCACCCCCTAGATGCGAGAACCCCTTGGGTGCACAGTGTGGCCCCCAGGAATGCTGAGACAGTCCACCTGGGCCTCCTACAGAACACAGTTGGGAAGACCCTCAGGCCGAGGTCACAGGCAGGACCTCACCTTAGCCTTTCACACCAAACATTCATCTCCTGAAAGGACAGGGGCCGTGGAGCCCCCAGCTGAGCCGTGGGCTCTGAGGACAGACCCGGCACCTGTCACCCGCTGCATCATGCGGCGCGTGTCCTCTGTGCACAGTAACCAGCAGGCTCCCAAAGCCCTCACCGTCGCACCCCGCCCTGTTGCGTTTTCTCTTACTGCCCTCCATGGACGCCCGGTTCCTCCTCCTGGCCCTCAGTCAGGCCTTTCTGTTCGTCTTGCAGCAATCATGGAATCTGGGGGCTGGTGGTGTTTCACACACCACGTCTTCCAAACCCACCATTTTATAAAGGCCCCAGTTAGTCACCTGTCCAACAGCAGCCGCACAGCTGGTTCATAGCAAGGAGAGGTTTGAGCTTCCTGGTTCTTAGACCACAGCTCGTACCTCTTAGATTTTAAAAAAGATTTTCAATGAGTTCTAAAACCTGTCTTACTGGAGGGTTAAGTAACTGATAGAAGCCTGTCACGAAGGAAGAGAAGTGTGTTAAGGTTGTGGTTGGAAAATGTTTCCGTCTTAGAGAACTGGCCGGGCCATGGCCACAGGTCACGATGAGTAAGCATCGCGTTGACACAGGCTTGTCCATCTCCGTGTAGAATGTGCGCTCACCGAGGAAGTGTCCACTCAAGATGGTGATGGCTGAGCGCAGCACGTGTGGCCCGGGTGAGGTCCGTGTGGCGCTAAACGCCGCCTCTGCTCTGTTCCCTTCCAGCCCAACCCTGCCCGCCCTGGACTGGCAGCTGCCATCCCACTCGGGCCCGTATGAGCTTCGGATTGAGGTGCAGCCCAAGTCCCACCACCGAGCCCACTACGAGACGGAGGGCAGCCGGGGGGCCGTGAAGGCGTCGGCTGGAGGACACCCCATCGTGCAGGTAGGCACCGAGGCCAGACTCGCACGCCACTTGCTGTTTTGGTCCAAAAGTAACTTTAGAGCCACAGCTAACTGTGCTGAAACTACAGACTCTCCCAGCCAGGCCAGCTGAATGCTATGTCATGGTTAGTCCTGGGCGGCTGCTCACCGCCCCTGAGCTGGAATGGGAGCGGGGCACAGCACCTCCTGCTTCCACAAGTGCAGACCCTCCCTCTTTGTTTTCAGATTTGCCCAAAGCAGCTCTCGTGTCCACGGATGCTGCCTGTGGTGTGGATGTTTCAGGCGGTTGATTCTCCCCTCTCTAAAGCCTCTGAACTACTGGGGTTCTCACCAGCAGCACCAGCCTCGCCTGGTGGGGGGCCCTCAGAAATGCAGGTTCTGTGGCCCACCAGGCCTGCGGAATCCCACACTCTGGGCTTGGGTGCTGGGGGCACCAGGGCTCAAGGTGCTTCCCGAGGAGAGGAGGAGTGGCTTTCAGAGTGGGCCTGGGGCTGGCAGCCGTGTCCCTGCCAGGGTAGGCCTGACTCCCTGGGCTCTGTGTGGCTTCCTCACCTTGCTCTCACCTTGGGGGAAAGCCACATGGAGTTAGGCTGTCCAGGGAGGTGTGTAGTGACCGCGCCGGGGATGGGCAGCGTCTGCACACAGAGCCATGCCCCCCTCTGCACCCCAGGTGTTGATGTGGGTCCCGGGTAGCCATGAGTGTTGGCATTTTCTTCGGTCTCACCTGTTACCTCATCAGCCCCAGGCCCTGGGTCCACTGCTTTGGCAGCCACAGAGCAGCAAGGCTGTCCGGCCCCAGGGCTCCAGGCCATGCAGCAACGCAGAGGACGTTTTCCCAGCACACACCAACAGCAGAAAACCGGGTGCCCCAGCCCTGTTATTTAGGGAATGATGCAAGCCGGAAGGGGTGCTCAGCAGGGTGCCCCGTGTTTTTATTTTTCTCCATTTAGATAAATAGTGGAGGGAAGGCGGCCACAGGGACAAATGGCTGTTTGCCAGCGCAACAGCCGGCAGCAGGGCATTAGCAGGCAGGGTGCTGGGCGAGGCGTTTCCACCAGCACTTGCAGATGCTGTTAACGTGATGTTTGTGGCCTGTGTGCTTGATGCCAATTAGTACCTACCTTGTCGGTGCTTGAAGCAAGGAAATGCGGGAGACACCTGAGTGCGCAGCGGCCAGTTTGACATTTAAAGTCTCCATCCTCCCAGGTGGGAAAGGTCAGATAGCGCTGCGCCATGCTTCGTCCCTGCAGGCCTGTACCTCCCCGTCCCTGCCTCGGTTTTCACTGACCAAAAGCCTGTTATTGCTCAGTGGAAAGGATCTTAGAAGGGACAGGAAATGAGGCAGTGAAAGAAAGAGTGGAAATAAGGCAATAGAGAAATGATGGCCTCGTCCACCCCATTTGCTGTGAATTGTATCGGTGAGGGTCACCGGCCATCGCCCTTTTCACCATGTCCAGATGAGGGGCAGTTGTAGGAATCGAGGCTGTTATTTGGAGGGTAAAGTGGGACCATGAGTGTGGAGAGAGCTCTGAGGTTTTTGTCTGTCTGTTTTGTTTTTTTGTTTTTGTTTTTTTTTGAGATGGAGTCTCGCTCTCACCCAGGCTGGAGTGCAGTGGTGCGATCTCAGCTCACTGCGACCTCTGCCTCCCGGGTTCAAGCAATTCTCCTGCCTCAGCCTCCCGAGTAGCCGGGACTACAGGCAGCCCTGGGTTTTAATGGATGTATTTTCACCTACCTGTGAGTAGCGCTGGTGCCTGGTGTCACCTGTCTCCGTGGACACGGCTCAGTGCTGGGCACTCCTCCCTGCATCTTCTGGAATCTTGTGGAATCCCATCTCTGTTCTACTGTCTGGGTGTCTTGGGCTTAGGGTGCTGAAATCTATCAATACAGATGCGACTGAGAGGGTCGAGGTGTTCTGGAGGACTCAGGAAACTTGAAACAGTAATTTAAAATATCTTTAAAATGTACCCTCAAAAATTATTCCAAATCAAGTGGCCCATGTGTGAGCAGCAGCAGAATGGGAGAGGCCGGACTTGTGTTTCCACAGAAGGAGACCTTTCCGTTGAAACGCAGGAGAAAACAGTCCCCTGCATGGAAAACGTCAGGCGCTATCAGCATATCTCATTGTGAGAAATTAGTAATTTAAAGAGTTTTCTGATGTGTCTGTGGCATTTATGTCTATGCAAGTGTGAGGTAAAAGCAGCTAAAAAGAGGGGGTTTTGGGGGTTTGTTTTCTCTTTCAGTTGGTGGACCACAAATTGGATAAAAATAGAATTTGTGCATAATTATAAAACAAATGAGAATAGAAAGCTCTCAGTTGCCGTGGAAGCTCCTCGGAACCGCAGACGTGCACTCACTGCCGTTGGGTTATTTTAGCACATCCTTCGACACAGCCCTTTTCTGCTGTTCAGAAACCAGGCTCATTGCACTGGCCTGGGGGCGCGGGGACGAGGCCGTGGGTGGTGGGCGCTGCAGGCGGCTGGTCAGAGCCACTGGGAACCACTGACACAGGAGTTTCCTGTTTGAGAAATGCTGTTCTCTTCATTGGGAATCGTCTGTCCACTGCAGCTCAAAAAGCTTGTCCATAAAATCAAAGCCTGCTGTCTCCTGCAGTGCAGCTCAGCCCTGGAGGGTAGCGGGGGGCCTGGGGAGGTGGCTGTCAGCTCTCGCAGTCAGGAGCGCACTGTGCGCCCGCACCCGGCGTCTCCGTCCTCCCGCACCCCCTCCCGCACCCGCTCGTCCTCCCCGCACTCCGTCTCCGTCTCTCCCGCGACCCGCGCCTCCGTCCTCCCGCACTCCTGGGCGCCTCCGGCCCTCCCGCACCTGGCGCTCTCCGCCCTCCCCGCACTCCCGCGCCTCCGCCTCTGCGACCCGGCGTCTCCGCCTCCTGCACTCCTGCGCTCTCCGCCTCCCGCACCCGCGCCTCCTGGCCTCCTCCCGCACTTTATGCCTCGCCCCTCCCGTGACTCCGGCGCCTCCGCCTCCCGCACCCTGTGTCTCCGTCAGCACCCTGTGTCTCCGTCTCCCGCACCCGCGCCTCCGTCTCCCGCACCCGGGCGCCTCGTCCTCCCGCACTCCTGTGTCTCCGTCTTCCCGCACCCGGCGCCTCCGTCCTCCCCGCACTTCTGTGTCTCCGTCCCCTCCCGCACCCGGCGCCTCCGTCCTCCCGCACTCCTGTGTCTCCGTCTCCCGCACCCGGCGTCTCCGTCCTCCCGCACCCTGTGTCTCCGTCCTCCCGCGCACAGCCTCCCCATCCTCCCGCGCACAGCCTCCCCATCCTCCCGCACTTGGCCTCCCCGTCCTGCGCCCTGCGTCCCCGCCCTCCCGCACCCTACGTTCTCGTCCTCCCCATCCTCCCGTGCCCAGCGTCCCCATTCTCCCGCGCCCGGCCCCCTACTCCCTCCCGCACTCTGCGTCTCCGTCCTCCCGCATCTGGCCTCCCCGTCCTGCGCCCTGCGTCCCCGTCCTCCCGTGCCCAGCCTCTCCGCCCTCCCACGCCCCACGCCCTACGTCCTCGTCCTCCCCATCTTCCTGCGCCTCCGTCCTCCCGCACCTGGCCTCCGTGCCCAGCGTCCCCATTCTCCCGCGCCTGGCTCCCTACTCCTACCGCGCCCGTCCCCCTCGTCCCCCACTTCCCCCCGTTCCCATGTGTTTCGCAGCTGGGAAGCAAAGTGCATGAGTAGAACGCAGCACCTTCTCCCCAGGAGGCATTCGGAGCAGGGACCCCAGGTTAGGAAGGGGTGTTTGCTCCTCCGGGCAGGCGCTTGCTCTTCTTACCTGTGGGCGCTGAGGGGCGCGAGGGGCGGCCGGCATCCGGGGCTCCTCCCGTTTCGGGCCTTTCCTTCAGAGGGAAGGAGGCCAGCCCTCTCCAGTGAGCACTGAGCGTGCCGCCTGCCGTCTCTGTGGGGATGGCATCGTTCCCACGCCGGGCAGAGACCACCCCAGGCCCGCCCCTACTCTTGTGGCCACATGGCCGTGATCACGCCATCCGCACCCTGAGGCCACCCCTGTTATGGCTGCCATGGCACTAAAAACGCCAGCATCAAAGGAACAGGGCCCTGGAGCCATCCGCGAGGGGGTCTGGGTGGTTCAGGACGGCCGGCAGCCCCTGGCGGATGTGGTCCCTGCAGGGTCTGGTGGGCCCTCGGCCGTGGTGATGGCTGCGCCCCCTCTGCAGGGTGCGGTTTGCGGGTAAGGACAGTTCTGCCCCCGCGCATGTGAGAGGGACGGTGGGGACGGGTCCGGACGGCGGGGACGGGCGCGGACGGCGGGGACGGGTCCGGCATGGGCCTCACTGCTCCTGGGAAACCAAGGATGAAGAGGCCCGTTTAGGGCTCACCTGGCCCTGGTAGAACACGTGACCTGGACAGAGCCTCTCAGAGGCCCCTGTCCAGGCTGGGAGTGACCAGCAGCCCGGCCAGCCTCGGCTCCTGCCCACACAGCCCCCTTGTCACTGGCCCCTCCTGCCCCCGCTCCAGCACCTTGGCCGCCAGTTCTCGGTGGGCCGGTCTGAATCTGCCGATGCTGGGACCTCGCCAGGCCGCTGGTTCCAGGGGAGGCTGAGGGGGCGTCCGCCTGCTGTCTGCTTCTCACCAGCATTTCCAGCCAGGCCTAAAAGTGACACATAGCGGGTGTTTCCCTCCAGCCTCGGCTTTCCCCCAAATCCCGGCTCACACTGAGTGTCCTGATGGTGGCACCTCGGGCAGCCGCCACCCTCTGCCCCTCCACCCTCCGCCCTGACAACAGGCTCTGCCTGAGGGTGAGGATCTCTCTGTACACACAGTCTTTTTTTTTTTTTTTTTGAGACGGAGTCTCGCTCTGTTGCCCAGGCCGGAGGGCATTGGCCAGATCTCAGCTCACTGCAAGCTCCGCCTCCCGGGTTCAAGCGATTCTCCTGCCTCAGCCTCCCGAGTAGCCGGGACTACAGGCGCCCGCCACCGCGCCCGGCTAGTTTTTTGTATTTTTTAGTAGAGACGGGGTGTCACCATGTTAGCCAGGATG